GCCCTTCAAAGGTTGAGTGAGATATCACACAAAACGAGGATGATATGGTGAAACCACTCTATGTGGTCCAAGGGGGACCACACGGACTTTTCAATGTTCAAAGTGAGGTTAAAAAACTCTCATATGCTCAAATTTGATAACACATCTGATTAAATATATAATATCAGAAAAAATTCTAGAAAATTCAGACCAAGAAAATCAAGGTGGAATTAGTCCAGATCATGGAGTAATCAAGCTAGTCTACATATACTATGTGTATGGATTACACTGTTGCTTTGAGATTCTACAAAAATCAAGTATTAATGACAAAAGGATAAAGAAAGCTACTCTAAATTGAAAAATTAAAGTAAGCTTTGATGATTGAAAAGTAGGGATTGAAATAGAAGAAGCTAAATCAATTACCTTGATAATACAATAGTATAGACTTGATCGCATGCATGAAGGATCACACCATGGAAGGGTATAATGTATAAGTTCAAAGCTCAAGGTTGAAGACAACAATGTTGGCCACGTGACTCTCAAGGAAGGCTCTCTCTCTCTTTCTTAGGTTTGAAGTGAATCATCAAAAATTAGGGTATGAAATGATCACATAAGTAACTTATATATTAGATCATAAGTATGGATTTTTTATCTTGATCATTAATGCCTTAAAATCAATGGCACATAAGGTATCCAAGTCACTCATCCATATTTCATCACTTAAGATCAATAATTAACACCCTTCACTCCATTAAACCTACATTATAGTCATTTTACCTTAAGGACTTTAGTCCCATATCTTATTTTCAACCAAGTCCAAATGGTGTTTATATAAAAGCCTTTAGTTTTGATTAAATCCATTAGTGTAGAGAATGGGCAAGCGCAAAGGCATAATGGTAAAGGGCACAACCCCCATGGGAAAGGTAAATATTTTTAAGACACCACCAATAGAATTTAATCAAACGACATCCTTCAAATGCACCTTACATCTTTCGCATGGGCCATACCAATGGGACACATCCACATGTTTTGATCACATGTCATGTATCCCATGTGGATTATAATTTTTAAAATAAATTTTATTTCAAAATTGCCTTGGCTTCACACATGCCAAGCATGTCACATGTGACAAAATTGTTGCTTAAGTTATAACAAAATATAACAACATAACATAATACAAAATAACATAACAAGGTCCACAATACCAAAACAGTCCCCCACACCATGTCAACAATATGGTGGGACTCGGGGTTGCCACATGGCCACCTCGTGGCCAATCGGGTGCCACGTGGCATCCTACAAGGATGTCCTTATAGGGGATTTCGTTCAAAGAAATTCAAAAAAACATATTTTAGTGACCAAAGAGGTTCATTTATTCATATCCGAGTAGCCAAGCACATTATAAGTTTGAATCAATAACGACAATATCTCATACAATGTAGGACTTATCAAAGTTTAGTGGATTTCTTTTATATTTTAATCTCATAATTCATCTTATGATAAACAACTAATTGCATTAAGTTATATGCATATTGTTCATGCATAAATAGTCACTATTAGTATGACTAGCCCCACAAAATGAGGCGTCATTATCATCACATAGTCATAACATAATCCACACATAAATATGTAGCTCTACATCCATGTGCTAATTTAAAAAAGAAACATTCTTAAGTCGCTTATGCATGCTCCACTAAAAGCGTTTCTAGCCTTTAAGAGACCGATAGAAGCTATCTAGTAGATTATCAATACCAAAGTTCTCTATTTGAGGACAGTTCGACTACTTGACTTACTAAAGATGCTCCCACTGAAACCAACAAGGTTGTCTTTCAAAATAGCTTGAATTTACATCTTGGAAAAATATTTTACTTCTATGAAAAACTTTAAAGGTTTCAAAAAGAACTTTATTCAAGATTGGTGATTATGAGATACTCTAAAATATTAAGACACATTTACGTGGTCATACCATAATGTTAAAAGAGTCTCTTTAAGGGCACTCCAAAATATTAAGACACATTTATGTGGTCATACCATAATGCTAAAAAAGTCTCTTTATCCAAAATGGAAGGAATATGGAGTTTAGCATAGTCATACCTCTTTATGAAAAAAACTACGCAAAGTAGTAAATACAAAACAAGTGGGTGTCCCCTTATGGTTTCTAACATCCTCTTGTGCTAAAACATTTGAAATCTGAAGATCTTAGTTTAAAAATACAAGAGTTCAAAATAAACTTCCTTTTAACATTTGTTTCTCAATTATCACAATGCATACTCAAAGTTTATTTTGGTTCGTTTGTTCTCAATTTCCAAAATAGTAAAAAATATGCATCTTTAAGGAAAACATCATCTCATACATGGAAACCCCTTTTCATGACTATAGAACCTCACGTGCCATGTAATAATCCTCATATACCTTTTATAACATAATTCTATACTCACTTATTTACACAAGAATCATGTCGGGATCACGCATCATAAAGTACTCACAAAATGCATCACATTATTTTGGTATCTAGGAAAGCTGAAAATAACAAAGTATGTACCTTGAAGCAACACAAGGACTAGTTAATGACATATTGAAGATACATCTCATAATTTCTCATGTCATAAAACAACCCACAAACAGTAATCATTCCACATATCTCACAATTCTCATATAATCACATCTATTTACACATGTTGTATTTCTTTAATTAGTCATATTCAATGGATTGATGTTTTGAATCAAATATCATAGATCTAGAATCAATATTGCATATGCCATGTGTCTTTAGCTCATACGAAAGTGGACACAAGCACTCAAATATCTCAATATGGGAATATTGGTCTATATCAAGTTTATAGTTTATGTTACTAGTCAAAGTTTTTCAATCATTATACTCACTTAACATGCCAAGATATTGTATTAATCATAAATCACAAGATATCATGAAGTTAAAGAAGTTGTTCTCAAACTAATAAATTCTCAATATACTAAAATCATGCATAAAGATAGAAAGAAGTCAAATCTTATGGTCTTAAAGTGACCAAGTCATAGCGTGTCAATCCCTTTGCTTTCGATCCACGATTTGGTTTTACCCTTTCTTTCTTTTGTTACTATGCTCAGCGTCTCATCTATCATCATGTGTCTTTGGTCTTGTTGACAATTTCTTCATATACTATCTAGGAGTAGCCCTAATATAGGCCAAGACTCGGGTATGGAGTATTAAAACTCATACTCGCGATTCAATGGGAATTATACAACCCTCCCACTGATCTAAAATATCCTGTGAAGTCATAAGAACTTCTAATAACTGATACTTCATAGTTACATTACAAATGTGAAACACCCATTCCCCATTTACACAGGATATATAGCTTATACAGTTTTTCTGATTTTTTCAAGATGAGCACGATCTACTCCTATAGACATAACATTAAACCTACTCAAAATTTACTCATGGGATTTCTTCCCAATTACAGTGGACGCCTCAAAATAAAACAACTTTCATTTAAAAAGTAATACATAATAATAGACCGAAAGGGCTCAAATAGCTTGATTCTCAGAGGGTCAATTTCTACACTGTAGCAGAAATTATAGTTTCACACACCTCTAGTAAAATGGCCATAACATTCAAAATGTGGAGAATTTACTCATGAGACTTGGTTTTTTGAAAACCCTGAGACTTGGTTTTTTGGAAACTAGACCCATTTTCCTATACCGACAACATACCCCCATTAACTGTAATGTGAATAGATGGCCCAAAAGAATCACGCATAGAAGTGCAAAGTTCTTGAAAAATTATTTAACAGATCTGGCACAATTCAACAAACTGTCAATAAATTTTAAAACATACATGATATGGTCGTGGGACCTTTTCTATATGAAACCATACTCAAAAACACAAATTATAGTTTGACACACCTCTAGTAAAATGGCCATAACATTCAAAATGTGGGGAATTTACTCATGAGACTTGGTTTTTTGAAAACTAGACCCATTTTCCTATACCGACAACATACCCCCATTAATTGTAATGTGAATAGATGACCTAGAAGGATCATGCACAGAAGTGCAAAGTTCTTGAAAAATTATTTAGCAGATCTGACACAATTCAACAAACTGTCAATAAATTTCAAAATATATGATATGGTCGTCGGACCTTTTCTATACGAAACCATACTCAAAACACAAAATAAAACATAATATCATTCTCTTATATAAAGAATTGAAGGCCCTACCAATCTGTCACAAATAGTGAACAGTTCTGAAAATTTTCAATCACAGTTCTCATGACATTGACAATATCCATTCTCAAGAATTAAAGCACATATACTATGGCATCGATGATCAAGTGTTTATGCATTTTGATAATCATATTTTAAACAATATTGAAGGATCAAGGAACAAAATTAAAGACCTACTCTGATACCATTTGTTGGTGGTATAAGACCAAAGAGCTAGAAACACTACTTAAAAAATTTCCATTATTTTGAAAACATGAAGTTTTGAATATATGAACTCTTCATCACAAAACTATAATATACAAATTCCAGCCCACAAATTTGGCTTATACAATCCTTAATAAATAAAAGAAATACAACTCCAATACGTCCCTTTACAAGTTTCAACAATGAAAAATACAAAATACATCATGAATTACAAGTCTCATTTATACAAAACTCTTATTAAAACTCAATACAAGATACATCCTCAAAGATCTCATCACTTCCAAAGCACATGATGACTTCGTCTTCAACATACATCCTCATTAAAATACACAACATCATACACATATATATCTTATATGATCATGATTAGCCAATCACAACATTAACTTGCATGACATAAGGTTAGCAATTCATCATAGCATAAAGTGTAGACTAAATGAACAATAGAAAAACATTATATTAAATACATTATATGACTGTAATTATACATGACATGACATGCACAATTTCTCCATAATATAAAAACATTATATGATTGTAATTATATTAAATAAACATGCAAGCAATGATTTGGGAAGCCATAGGTCAAACCTTTTGTACCCGGGTCACAAGCGAACCTTTTAGGGACTCAATGTTGTCCTCTTGTCTAAGAGATCAATCCAATAAGGGAAACATATGATCCAATTAATTCACTTAATAAGGATTAAAACATAAGGGAGATAGGTATCAAAACAACTCTTCAAAGGTTAAAAGAGATATCACACAAAAACAAGGATGATATAGTGAAACTACTTTATGTAGTCCAAGAGGGACCACACGAACTTTTCAATGTTCAAAAGTGAGGTTAAGAAACTATCTCATATGTTCAAATGTGATGATACGAACTTTTGACCAGATATATATTCTCAGCGAAAATATCATAAAATTCAGACCAAGAAAATCAAGGTGGAACTAGTCTAGATCATGGAGTAATCAAGCTAGTCTACACATATTATGTGTATGGACTATACTATTGCTTTGAGATTCTTCAAAAACCAAGTATTCATGACAAAATGATGAAGAAAAACAGGCCCTTAGTCTTATATCTTATTTCCAACCAAGTCCAAATGGTGTTTACATAAAAGCCCTTAATTTTGATTAAACACATTAGCATAGAGAATAGGCAAGGGCAAGGGCATAATAGTAAAAGGTACAACCCACACGGAGAAGGTAAATATACTTATGACACCACCAATAGAATTTGATCAAACCACATCCTTCACATGCACCTTACACCTTTCACATGGGTCACATCAATGGAATACATCTACATGTTTTGATCGCATGTCATATATCCTATGTGGATTATAAGTTTTAAAATAAATTTCGTTTCAAAATTGCTTTGGCTTCACACATGCCAAGCATGTCACGTGTGACAATTTTGACTTAATATACATCATAACATAATACAAATAACATAACAAGGTCCCCAATACCAAAACAGTCCCCACGCCATGTCAACAATATGGTGGGATAACAAGGTCCCCAATACCAAAACAGTCCCCCACGCCATGTCAACAATATGGTGGGACATAGGGTTGCCGATAAGCCACCATAAGTGCTCCTTATAGGTGTAATTGCTAATAAGCCACTATAAGTGCTCCTTATAGGCGTAATTGCTGATAAGCAACCATAAGTCGCCAAAAGTCGTGGACAGAGCCTAGAATCGGCCATAAAACCATTGACTCGAGTGAGTAATCGCATTATTGACTCACAAGGACCTTATATCCTTGACTCAATGCCAGTTTTTTCAGAACTAGTTCACACATATCTGGTATTGAGGCTAGTTGTTCAGGAAGGATGGTTAAAAACTTTGAAGAAATTATTATTGCCAATATTGAAAGAGATTTAAATAACAGGAATATTCCAAAAATCTCTACTTCTGAAATATATAGTAAAGGCACTTTTGAATTTAAAAGTGACTATGCTATTAAAACTGAAGAAAAAACTGTATCAGTATTAAATATTGAAACCACAATAAATTTATTAACCAAAGATCGAATTAAGGATTTCAAACGAAAAAAATACAATTATCTCGATATAGGTTTGGTCCAAAGAGGAATTAAACACCATTAATCAGAACAGCGTTGCAAATCGCTATTCTTCTTTGTCTCAGAGATGGTAGACATAGAAAATTAATGGATTCTTTATTAGGAGCTGTAGAATCCAGCCTTTGTGAAGGACCAATTTATTTCAACTGTTTTTCAAGATTTTTTGTTTCCCTATCTAATCCTCATATTATGAAAGTCCTAACTTTAAATTTATTAACAAATGGGTTCGACATGGACGTTGGATCACAAAATATAGCCATCACGTATAGCGTGTGCTATAAAGCCATGACTACTATTTGCCCCAATGTTAAGAAAATAGATACTAATGGCCAAACTGTTCTTTTCCAAGCAAATGTGGAAAAATCCAACTTAATTACCCCCAGATCTATTTGCTAGGATCAGGTTAACTTGCCTGAAAAATGGACTTTACCTTGTGTTGTTCCTCCTAAACCAATCCAAAATCAAAAATCAAAATATCAATCAAATAACTCAATATGCTGAAGGAAAGGTAGAAATACAATTTTCACCTTTGCTCAGGACATTTCTTGATCAAAACAGAATTCCTAGACAACCCCCTAGGATGTCTTTCTCCTCCGTTCCACAAACAGAAAATGAAAAAAATAGGAAAAAAGACATTATTATAGAAGGGCTTGATCAGTTGAAAAATCAACAAGTGGTTCAACCCACCTACAAGGTTGATATCCCCTCAACTCAAAATGATGAAAAATTTGAAGGATCCCAAGAACCTACTTTCTCTGACATGGGATATAGTTCTAGTTCCAATATCCCTGAAGGACAAGTGCACAGGCTCCAAATAGAAGAATTCAAAATTAATTATGAACTTCTAAGAAAAGATTTTATTCTGAATAAAATAAAGAGGCAAGAGAATGGTTTCTTAATCACAGCAAACCACTGATAAAATTCTTAAATGATGAATACATTAAGGTTATGATAAAAAAAAAGATCAATATAAGATTTTTTACTTGGCTAAAATATTATATGGATTCAAAAAACAAGAAATTTTCTGATAATTTATACACTCCTAAATCCAGGAACCATGGTACTATAGTCGTACTATAAAAAATTTATAAGACACCAAATGGAGAAACTGAAGCTATTCACCCTCCTTAAGCTCTTATCGAAATCAATAAAGTTAGAGTTGTTCCTTATAAACAAACTTGTGCTCCTAAAGAAGAAGGAGTGTTACAAAAACTTGTCAACCTTAAGAGCCTCAATCACATAATTGAGCAAAATAATTATACAAACTTATTTCTGCAAAGTTAGGACAACAAGCTACAAGGATAGAGAAAAATCTAGAGGATAAACCTTCTACCTCTAACCAGATTCCACCTTCTACAGAAAAAGAGAAACTTGAACCAGTTCTATTTAAACTTGCTATTCCTATCTCTAATAAAACTTTCAAGTTAGGACCGACCCTTAGAGAAGAAAATGAATTCTATCAAGAATTAGTTAATAGACCTACGACCCTAAAAATCAGTGAGAAAGGAAAAGAAAAGGAAAGTACTACTAACATGTTAGAAGATGTTAGTAATGATGAAATTCTCAAACTTGAAGAAATGTTTAAAGAAGCATCTCATAATCTTGACCAGCTTAATAGAATAAGCTACGGAACCAAAACTCGGCCTACTGTTAGTTCCAAGATGTACTATCCTCGTCCCTCTCCTATCCATCTCCAATATGAGGAAGGTATATTTTCTAATGCAATTCAATATGATGGGAGATCCATCATTGAGTGGAATATTGATGGTATATCAGAATACCAAAAAATGAATTTAATCAAACATATGGTAATAATGTATGCAGAAGCATCTTCTAATCATGGTAATAAAGACCTTGATATTGCAAGATCCATAATCAATGGATTCACTGGGCAGTTAAATGGATGGTGGGACTTTTACTTACGAGAAGATGAGAAAAACACCATTGTCAATGCTAAAAAGCAAACTCTTAGTATTGTCTATAATCTAGGAGTTAAACAAGAAATGCCTTCAGAACAAGATGATTGTGTTAACACTTTGATCTATACTATCGCCCTACATTTCATAGGAGATACCTCTCTTTGGAATGAAAGTACTAGAGAGCTTTTAGAAAACCTTAAGTGCCCTGATCTCTCGCATCATCGGTGGTATAGAGATGTTTTTCATACCCAAATACTTACTAGAAATGATGCTAGGGATGTATGTTGAAAATCCCAATTCTTAAATGGATGACCTGCTTTGTTCAGAGAAAAAGTTAAAACAAAGCCTAAGAATGCTAATGGGGAAAAAGAAATCCCTTATGAAAGTTATACATTAGGCCAGCTAGACAACGAAATATGCGCCACAGACCTAGAACTTTGCACTAATCTCAAGCTCAAGAGATAGTTGGAAAAACAAAAACTTACAGGAAAAAGAGAAATGGGAGATTTCTGTGAACAATTTGGATATTATCCATTCCCTGAGAAAACTCACTCTAAAAAACACAAGAGTGATTTTAAGAGAAGTGATTATAAGTAAAATAGAAAATATTACAAGAGACAAAAAAGGAAAAAATTTAAGCGTAACTTTCAACGAGAAAATGATGAGCCTAAAAATAGGAATTTTAAAAGAAAAATACTTGTTTGCAAGAAGTGCGGTCGTTACGGTCACTATGCTAACAGATGCAGGACAAAACAAAAACTTAATGAAATAACTGATGAGGGTCTTAAAAACAGCTAGAGAAAATACTACTTCTTGGAGACTCTTCTGAAGATGACCTATCTTATTTGGATACAAATTATGAAGATGAAATTTATGAAATTAACAGCAATACTGAAACTTCTGACGAAAATAGCCATGACGAAAAAGATTGTAATTGTGACGATTATAAGGCCTTATTAGATATGCGAGGTTTGTGTCTTAATGTATTAACTGAAGAACAAAATTTGGTTTTAGATATTATTGACAAAATTATTGACCCTCTTGAAAAAAGAGATGCACTAGTTAAATATCATGCTAAAGAGAAAACTGAAAACCAAGTTATAAAGCCCAATTATGACTTTAAACAAATCATTGAAAAAGTAAGTAAACAAAAAAAAAAAATTTTCAGAAACAGAAACTACAGTTTCTGAACTTAGATTTGAAATAAGAAATTTAAAAGAAGAAATACAGACTCTCAACCATAGAGTTTATGTTCTTGAAAAATCAGGATTAGAAAACCAACAAGAAACACAAGAAAATCTGCTAAATGAGTTTGTTGAAAATATGCCATCGCAAGAAGAAAATGTCAATATCTTGGAAAATATTGATCTCAGACAATTAAATTATATTAATATGATAAACAAGGTAATTATCCAAAAATAGCATACCAGAGTAACAATTGTGGTTTCAAAATAATATAGTTTTACTGCTATTGCTCTTATTGATTCAGGAGCTGATCTTAATTGTATTAATGAAGGACTTGTACCTTCAAGATTCTTTGATAAAACTACCCAAATATTAAATATTGCCAATGGAAAAAGACATATGATCAATTATAAGCTCTCTGAAGCAGTTGTTTGCAATAATGAAGCATGTTT